TAACTATATACAATGTATTAATGTGTTATATAGTGTATGTTGGTAGATACTGATACAGATACATTCCCTCTCAGGTGTGTCCTCTTTTTGAAAGTTCAAATATGGTAACCCTAGGCATATTCCTCAAGAGTAAGAGGCTCTTTTTGTAAATCGTTAGAGGAAAACTGAACAGACCACCATCCTGCAAACAAATATTTGCTCAACTTTTCATATGTGAGCTGTCTCACTGCAGTGAGACAGCTCACATGCACAGTTAGGTAGGTAACTGCTGGATCAGGACACAAGACTGTAACAGAAGGGGGGGAAATCTTGGAACTGCAGATAAAGAGCACAATCTGGCTTTTAATACAGAAAAAAGGAAATGTGGATGATTCATCCAAAAATGAAAACTTTTAGTTAAAAGGATACTGTAAAATTTAATGAGTTTTAAATTAGGGACGTGAAAGAGTAACCTGGCACACATTTAGCTGATGAGTCTGGGATCCCAGGGACAGACTGACCTCCTGCACTCTGCCTCTGTTTCTGTGCCACCTGTTCTTCCACTGTGTCCTTCCATTTTCAGTTACATGGTTATTTAATTAAAGGCATTTTAACGTGCCTATTTTAATTTCTTTGCTCTTAAAGTTACTTGCAATGCAGGAAGCAACAATAATTTTGAGATTGAGCAGTGCCAAAGCACAAAAATAACGAATAGTAATGACAGGTAATTAAACATTCTAAGCAAAAAATATTTCCACACACCTGACAGGATGTCCTTCACAGAAAGTCTGTGTCTGACCAGGTACAGAAACTGCAGTTAGGTTCCCTATATGCTACAGTGAATGTTTGGTTAATACTGGCATATTTCATTTCCTTGGATGCTTGTTCTGAAAAGCATTGTCTTTGCCATTTTGTGTTCATTTATTCTCAATATTATGGATGAGCACAAAAAGAAGGTCAGGAACAGTATATGGAAACACCAAATCAGTGGAGTTTACAATAGTATCAGATAATGGTAGCAGATCTATGATATCACAAACGTTCAAACACAATGCAATAATCTTTTCTGCCATCACTGAGTCCAGGCATCATATACTCCACAAAAGAATCATTCCATCACTTTTCACAAAACTAGATTCAGCAATAAGCAAAAACCAGAGCATTCATTACTTGACTATTACCAGGATGCAGATGAATGAGAAATTCACCAGCAGCTAAGGAATGCATAGGTTACTGCTATCAAGGTACAGAGGGATTTAAACAAATTCAAGCAGAACATTCATACCATTATTAATTTTTTTGGAGGGGGGACAAATGTTCTATACATTATTATAAAGTCAGATAAACAGTTTTAGAGGAAAAAAAACAAAAAGAAGAAAAAGAGAAGGGCCATTCTGAAATACAATATAGCAATGGGAAATCATTAGCAGTTTTTCGTGCCAGATGCCACCACCTAAAGTCAAAGTGAATTGAAGGGAAAAAAGAGGAAGTCAGTCATGCTGAACACAGGCCACGTCTACCCTGGCAAATTACTATGCAATTAATTAGCCCCCAGTGCTGTAACTTTCATGGTGTCCACACTGACAAGGCACTTTGGGCGCACTAATGCCACAGTTAGTGTGCTCTGGGTAAGCCACCACTATGAGAAGCATAGAGCTTGCTGCGCTATGGACAGCGTGCTGGAGTGACAGTGTGGACACCATAGTGCAGTACTGTGTCCTGACTGGCCTCTGGCACCCTTCCCACCATGCCTTTGTTCTGGCCTTCCTGGTCATCTGTTTGAACTCTACTGCCCTGATCAGGTGACCAACACCTGCTCTTGCGTTCTTTTTGAAATGTGAAATTCTCCTTCCTGTTTGCGCAGCGGTATGTGGTATGGTCTCAGCGCATCTCTCAAACTGGCCATGCCTGCTCCATGCACCAGGAGATTCGTGGCTTCTACCCATGCCAAGGTGATAGACCTCACCAGCGTTTGGGGGGAGGAGGCAGTCCAGTCCCAGCTGTGCTCCAGCCATAAGAATTATGATACCTATATACACATCTCTAGTCTCATGACCAAAAGGGGACATACTGCAAGGTAGTAGAGTCAAGGTAAAGGAGCTCTGGGAAGTCAAAAAGTGCAGGAAGCAAACTGTTGCGCTGGTGCTGAACTCACATCCTGCAGGTACTACCAAGAGCTGGATGAGATACTTAGAGGTGACCCCACTTCCACTCCAAAGGCCCTCGTGGACACCTCAGGGGCTCTGAGCACATCCAACACTGGACCGAGATAGGAAGAGGAAGTTGTGGCTGAGAATGCTGAGTGGTAGAGGGACCCAGAGCAACAGAAGGACTGAGCATCCTCAGAGGTTTGCAGCCAGGAGCTGTTTTGTACTCTCGAGTAGGTGAGCCACTCACAGCCCTTGGAGGCTGCAGATGATGCTACCGGTAAACTGTTGGGAAAGCCCTTGAGCAACTTGATGGGAACAGGAGGCTTACAGAAAGGAGGCTGGGTTCCATATGATGCTGCTACAGTCAGATGACAAACAGACCTTTGATGCAATCTCTTACATCTCAGTGATCTGCCTCACAAACCTCGTTGGATGTTTCAAGCAGCTGCTGTGCCATCTACAAATTTCAATAATTTCAAACCATATTTTATGGCTAGTAGATGACAAAATACCGCCAATCCCAATTAGTCTGAGCACTATTTATGGCTGTTTTATTTTGACTGTTGGCTTTTATATCTTTTCCTCATTCGATCACCACTGAGACTATTTCCCCCTCACATATTTTGTCTTTTTTCTTTTGATTTAAAACCAATATTCCTCTATTAGCAGGCTCCCACCCTGGGTTCTAGGAGTTCTTACAACAATCAAAATCAACAACCTTGTATTATCCAGTGTCACAAATAACGCATTGTCCATTCCACTATAGGTAAATAAACAGTTAACCCCCTTCACAATGCCTGTAGGAACAAATTAAATACTCTGAACAAACCATCTTCCTCCAAATGCCGGGGAATAGAATCAGGCCTTAAAGTGTGATGAGAAAGTTAATAGATCCTGAATTTGAGAGACCAAGCAGGCAGCAAATTCCAGAGTAATGATGGAGCCTGAGCAATACAGCATGGAAAAAATAGTCGTGTATTGCATACCATGGATCAAACCATAGGTTACAGCTAACCCTTTGAATTGTACCTGGAAACTCACAAAGGTACCCACAGTGGTACCTTTTGCCTCCTCACAACTTCAAAATTTGGCCTCCTGTAACAAATCTGTGTCCATATATACCTAGTGCTCTTGAATGCCAAGATGAGACTGTATAAACATAGGCTGAGAAACATATATTTTGACCTTCTGCTCCAAACACATAGACCTTCTGAGCTAAAATACTAACTCTACTAGTATTACTGAAGGAGGAAACAACAAATTCAATGGTTCTGAACCAGGGGTACATGTGCGTCCAAGGGTACGAAGAAGTCTTCCAGAGGGTCCATCAGCTCATCCAGATTTTGTCTACTTTTACAACAGTGTACATAAAAAGCATTAGGAAAGGCAGCACAAACTAAAATGTCATACAAATAATGACTTGTTTATACTGCTCTATATATTATACACTGATATGTATGTACAATATTTGTATTTCAATTAATTTATAGTTATGTGGTAAAAATGAGAAAGTAAGCAATTTTTTAATAATGGTGTTCTCTGACATTTATATTTTTATGTCTAATTTTGTAAGCAAGTAATTAAGACAAATCAGACTACTGAAAGTAGTTTAGGAAGGCTGAGAGCCTCTGTATTACAGCAACGTTCTTGCTGCACATTATTCCTGTCCTAGAGCAAGTCTGTCTCAAGAGCTTCAAATTATGTAATATAATGATGTATCATATAAACCAAGTGCTGCATATGTAGCCACGGCTGCATCCAACCCTCAAGTCCATCTTTTATCATCTTTGGCTTTCCTAAGGCTCTTCGATATAACTTCTTGCAAGCTGACTCTCAAGAGTTAGTACCTAAGGCAAGTGAAAAGCTGCTTAATAATACAGTCCATAGGTCCACATTTGTATAAATGTCCTCACATGTGACTTTAATATTAGTGCAAGTTATGGGATGTAATTTTAAACATACAAAACCTTGGATTTATAGAAGCATACCAAGTACCACATATAACCATCTGATTTGCACCTGCCACTGCAGTCTGCACACAGTAATTAGAGTTTGACATGTGGTAAGAATTGTGTGTTTAATAAAATGATTACAAATGGCTGTCCTTAATCCATCCTCTCAACCAGGATTGAAGTAGATTAACCAATACTGTATAACAGGATCAAGTCATTAAGAAAATGTGCTAGCTTCCCCATTCCACTGATGTATAGGTAGCTTTCTGTAATGGTGTTGAAAATGCTATGGCTCTGTATGCACTACAGATATGCAGCCAAACAATTTTCAATGCCAAAACATGAAAAAGCATTAAAATATAACACCACATCTCAGGGTGCGCCATTCAACATGAAATACACACAGATTTCAATGAGCTTCTACAATTCTGTGCAAAGAGAGTATTATATGTTAAAGAATGGAAAATTGAAATATTTTACACAGATGCAAACATATGCAGTATAGTCAGAAAGCAGGTACTGCTTTTAGAATATAAATAATTTAACAGGAAGAACTATGGCATAAAACAATTTCTACGTACAGACAAATTAAGCCCTGGAAATTGGAATATGGTAAATGAAGGAATGCAGATTATATATTTTTGAAACAAAACTTTCTCAACAAGTGGCAATAACTTAGTTATATGAATAGCTGTAGTACTGAAAAAAGATGGCATCACTTTCCAGAGTTAGAAACTTTCTGAATGAAGGAAACTATTGCCTACAGAAAGCAAATTGCAAATCACTGTTGGGGAACAACCTTTAATTCCCATTTCATCCTGCACTTCCCTAAAACATACTGTAAAGCAAACTGTTAATCATAAAGGTAAATTCTGAAGTACCGGTGTGAACAATATACACACAAAAGGTAAGTACTTACAGCTGAAGATGCCTGGAGGTGGATGCTCTGTTACAAGTAGACAGTTCTCTTCATCACTATTATCCCCACAGTCATTCTGTTGGTTACAAATCAGCGAACCAAGATACAAGCATTTACCACTGGTGCAGGTGAATTTGCACTCTGAAAAAGCATAACAAAAGCTGTCATGTAATCAGTGCTTATTTTTCTCTTTCATTGTACAATGCTGCTATAGTGCCAGATATTACAACTAGTGAAACAAATTTAGTTGCAGATATGGGGCTATAATAATGGATGTGCCATTCTCATTAATAACTGCAACTAGTGAATAATGATCGATTGTACAAGATAAATTTTTGACCACCAGGTCTGACCATCAGACTTACATGATGTAAAATGGCATCAATTTTTTAAAGAGGTAGCATAGTCTATAATCTCCCCAAAGCCTGTCCAGTCCTGTAGAATTATTCCTTTTCCCACCTTCCCAACTGCCACTCTAGTTACAATTACAAACTCACTGTCCGTACGTGGAACTCCCAGATGCCCTACTGTTTTGCAACTGTCATGGCTAGTAAATTTCCAAAACTAATTTAATTTTGAATGAAGGATTAGAGCAGGGGTCTAGATTTCTAAATTATGTATACTACAAAGAAATAGCTGATTTCCCTTAAATGAGGAACAAATAATATGTGATCATGTATTTAAAGACTGTATCACAATGCATTTACAAAAGTAGACAGTCTTAATTTTGGCATAACTCCATTTTTCAGTGCTTGACTTTGTAACCTTAATGTTCTTTTAACATGCAGTGTTTTTGACATTATATCTATAAATTATATATTAGAAAATTAAGACAGGGCTCTTCTATGCACACATACACATTACAGTAATGCCATTAAGGTTTGTGCCACTAAAGCCCCACTCATCAAATTAATCTTAGAACAGTTAGGGCCAATATTCCCTTTAATCTTTTCCATCCACGTGCAGATTTTTTCCATTCATGTGTGGAATACATTTCTATGTGCACTGAATCATCTGCAAATGTGCACCAACAGTAGAAACAAAGAGCCTAGCTGTGGGAGCTTTGCTAATCAGCTCCTGAGCAGCCACATAAGCACACAGCTTACCGGGAATACTGGTAAGAGATAAATTCATGAATGTGTATGCAACTCCCACTGAAATCCAGAGGAGACGTGCAAACAATTCTAGGGATACAATTCAGTCAATAGTCTACATCGAGGGTGGGCAAGTATGGCCTGCGGGTTGAATCTGGCCTGCCAAGCTGTTTGATCTGGCCTACAGCCTGCCCTGATGTGCCCCCACCCCAGGTCAATCAAGACCCGGGATGGGAGCATTTGAAGTCTCCTCCCCTGATCAGATGTGCGCGCCAGGTGTTCAAAATGTCTGGTGGTTCCCTCTGGGCACCATGCACCCCAGGCGGGGGTAGTGGTGACTTCCCATGCTCCCCAACCAATGGGGAAACCCACAAAGTCTCCCCTCCCCTCCAAACGAAGTGTTTAGAGGGCCTAGACTTGAGGGAACCACCCCTTGGCCCCGAGGCCCTGCCCCTTCTACCTAAGGCCCGCTACTACACAACTACCATCAACACTGGTGAAGTGGCCATCCTACAGAAATTATTGCCTACCCCGGTTAAGAATGTTAAGGACTAGCTGACTAGCTGACTATCGGATAAGCAAAAACTTAATTGGATAGATAGTCGACTAGTCGATTCTCCCCCTCTTGCTGCCTCTATAAAATAGAGGCAGCAAAGGGGGGAGAAAGGGGATACTTCAAAGGGGCCTGGGCTCAGCTGTGCGGGACTGCCCCCTTTGAAATGCAGAGGAAGCTGATCCCTGCTGGGGCTCTTGCACATGTCAAAAGAGGAATGCGGATGTGCCTATCAACTTTTCAAGGGAAATTCCATCTACTACTCGACTAGTCAATTAACCGATATTTAACATCCTTATCCCTGGTCTACATGAAGGATCTACATATACTCCATTCTCCTCAAAGACTTGCTCCTGCAAACTCTTGCTAGCACCCATAAATATAGCACTAGCAAGGGTATTTGCAGTTTGCCTAGAAAGTTAACAAATATTAGCTCTGGAAGACCATGCAGGGAGAGGGGAGGAAAAATAAGTTCCAAAATCAAGGACCTCTGACAGAGAACATCCTGTCAGCAGCCTCCTCTCATTTATACTGAGGAAGCTTCTACTCAAGTGTCTCTGGTGATCTCAACTGTGGCAGTGTGCCAAAGACAGCATGATTTTCTCACTAATCAGTGAGGCTTACCGAGCAGTCTGCCTACTCTTTACTTTTTCACCAAAGCAGATTCTTTTCACAATGGAAGGTCTATGCCTTAAGCACTATAAATCTTAGGGACAAAACTTTTCTTCCTCAAGTTCCTTTTTATCCCTTTGCCTTTCGCTCCATTGTGAAAGGTACCAGGCTAACAGCCCTAGACACTGAACTCCTTCCTCTAAAGAACACATATAGCAGGAGCAGTGACCGCACAAGTAATGGCTGTGCAAGCTTCTCCCCACATCATCCAGCCAACATGCAAGGCATAGGGGATCACCCTTAGAGGCATCAGTATCTTAACTCAGATTATGTCTTCACTGCCTTTTGCTTCAGTCTTTACTAACAGTTAATTGTGAACAGATACTCAATTAACATTGACAACAAGAGGGAAGAAATGCAAGGCAGAACAGGGAAAGATAGGTTAGAGAATACTTAAATACATCTAATATAGGCTAGCTAAGTCAACAAGGGCCTGATGAAATTCATCCCAGGATATGTAAGGAGCTAGTTGATACAATCTTGGAACTGGTAGCATCTCACTGTGAGAAATGGTGGGGGACAGGTGGGGTTCCAGAGAACTGGAGAAGTGAAAATACAGTACCTATAATTAAAAAGGGAAATAAAGAAGACCCAGGAAAGTATAGACCAGTCAGTATCTTTGATACATGGAAAGATCCTGGAACAAAATGATGAAAAGCCATTTGTATGCAACAGGAGAGAAGCAAAAATGCAGAGGCTGGCTAGTTAGGCTGCCTGACTTGCTGGGAACTCACAATGTAGCCAAAAACATTCCAGTCAGGAGTGGGAGAGACAAGGGTTTCTGTCTAGTAGAGGTAATAGTAAGGACCTGGGAGCCTCTGTGGATGCCCTTGAGATAACTTGGTTTATCTCTCAAACTGTATTAATCTATCCATGAACAGTGTTTGTGAATACTAAGGATGTGCCATGAATCTTAATGCTGATAATGAAAATTCCATTGCCCTGAAGCCAAACAGCCCTGAGACACAGTAAACTTTTAATGTTATTTTCTCCTTTAACCTCTACACTTATTGCACTTCTACACTAGGAATTTATTTCAAAATAATAATTCCCAAAATAACTATTTCAAAATAGCGTGTCCCTACTACAGGGAAGTCTCAAAATTAGTCCAAGGCAGGCTCCCTTAATGTGGATGCACTACCTCAACTTAGAGCCCCAAGAAATACTGGGGAGTAATTAATTTGAATGACTCTGGGGAATAGTTATTTCAAAATTGTAGCAATGGAGCGTCCTCACTACCGCTGTTCCAAAATAACTATTTAAGAATAAGTATTATTCTTTGTGGAAAGCAGGAGTTGTTAGTTCAAAATAACCAGCCGCTTGGTAGCCGCAACTGGCTCAGTAGTGTGGACGCTCCACTTGTTATTTTGAAATAAGGGATTATTGTTTTTGCCACCCCTGGTATAGACCAGGGCTTATTGTTTTTGCTACCCCACATTGTACTGTCCTATTATTCCACAGCAACAGCATTTACAAGATTTTTAACCACTGTACAAACTCATTTCAGGGCTGTCTTATGGTCTCCTTGGAATTGTTTTTCTTGCCCTTTCCAGAAAAGTTGAAAGCCATTCTGTTCTCTCAACAGTCATTTATTTTTTATACATTTTACTAATAATGAATGCAATTCTTTCCTTCCACAGTCATCACTAGGTCCTTATTCTAAAAGTTTAAATGTTTTGTTTTCAGGCGAAAGGGGAAAAATTATCAAGGAATGAAGCCCAATAGTAAATATTTAAGTTTTAATTGAAAAAAATGTTTTCATTCATTAATACAATTTCTCTCACTAGACGTATTTCCATGGCAAATATTCTCTAGATGCATCACAGAGGAGATAGGAAGTACAGGCAGTCCCCAACTTACGCGGATCCGACTTATGTCGGATCCGCACTTACGAACGGGACTTTTCTTGCCCCGGAGCTTATGGGCGGCACGTCACCACCCGTGTCCTCCGGGGCGAGAAAAGCTTCTCCTGTCCCCCTGGTCTGCTGGGGGGGGGTCCAGTGGCTTTGATGGACCCCCCCAGCAGACCAGGGGGACAGGAGCAAAGCCGCCCAGGCGGCGGGGGTCCCGCTGCCTGGGAGGCTTTGCTCCCGGGCAAACGAGCAAAGCCGCCCAGGCTTTGCTCTGGTGTCCCTGGTCT